TCTCTTTTACTGAAGGCCACCTTCTTCCACATGGGGAAAATGCCCTCCTATAATTTAAAGTTATTTTTATTACTATAAATTATCTCATGCCTTTTCTAGCCCCAAGTTCAAAAATCTTGGTGAACTTGCATGAACTCTAAATTTGGAGCAGGAAATTGGAGGCACGTTTGTGTGTTTGTGTGTGTGTGTTTGTGTGTGTGTGTGTATGTATGTATGTTTATTAATTTGACTGCTCTCATTTGTTTCACATGCTTGTAATTGAGGTAGGAGATAGATGCCCTCCACAGAATAAAGAGAGGCAAATAAATATCTGTGGATGTCAGTATTCACCAACACCAGTCATTTGAAGATAAGAGAATCAGTTTTCTTTTGTAATTCTTGTATTATTTTGTGTGTCCACAAAATTGAAAGAACATTTATTTCACAATTAGAACAACAAATTAGCCCAAATACTTTGAACTGACAGGAATTTGTCTGTGAATTGGTATTCAATGACAATGATAATTCCATATTGATGCTGAATTTCTGTAAATTGCCTGCAGAGGCAAAGCAGACTACCTGGAGTGGTGGTCATTGATGGGGCTTCCTTATAGAATGGGATTAGTAAGGCCTGTAACATATATGTATCTCTTTCAAATCTCCCTTGGAACATTCATTTTTCCTTATACACTTGGCTTTCACATGCTTTTAGTGGATTTGTTTCCTCATGCACCTAGATGTTTCCCCTTAGTAATTTTTCAAAGGAAGAGGTACAATAGAAAAAAGACCCAAACAAGTGGATTTGTTGTTTCTGTTTCTGCCTGCAGTGATTACTTTTGACAGATACTATATATATGGTAAATGTGTTATGATAAAAGGGTGTTAAAAATGTCTGGTGAGTTCTAGCACTTTCATAATTTGGTCACATACCTAGTCTCCCTTATATTTGAAAACTTTCAGAATTTGGTCACATACCTAGTCTCCCTTATGGGCTGAAAACAGCAAATACCATCTCCTCTAGGGATTATAACCAATTTTAAGATAATATTAATTTGAGTACCAAATCAGAGAAAGAAGTTTACTACTAGTACCTTTAGGTTTGGTCTTTTTCTTAATTTTTCCTAACAACATATTTGGATGAATCCTACACTTCTCATACACTGAAATCTTTTAAATTAAATCCAACCAGGCACACTAGTACATGCCTATAGTAGTAGTGGCTCAGGAGGCAGGGGTAGGAGGATTAAAAGTTCAAAGCCAGCCTCAGCAACTTAGGTAGCCCTAAGCAACTTTGCAAGATCCTGTCTCAAAATAAAAAATCTAAAACAATGGGCTAAGTATGTTGTTTAGTGGTTAGGCATTCCAATACCAAAATATTGAAACAAACAAACAAATAAAATAGGCCCATAGATTCAAACATGTTTGTACTACTCCTTTCCTATCTTCACAAAAACTTTAGCTGGAAAGTGTAGAATTCAAATCCATCTCTAAATCATTATTACTTTTGTGTTTCTTACATTGATCTGGAATATCTTGAAAAGAGCATGATTCCAGTCACCAGAAGAATTTAAAAAAATAAATTTTATCATAATACATGAATGGTAATGCATTTAACAATGTTAGAACTCCACAGCTGCACTCAGAGCACTTGTTTGTTGTGTGTGTTTGAGTGTGTGCCTGTATGTGTGTACATGGTGGGGGTGAGGGAGACCAAAGGTGGCTTAGTAGGAAGTAAAGGTGCACTGCATGCAGAAATACAATTGTTTAGTTTTTTCTTCTTTTTCTAGCTTCTCTGGAATCTTAGATTGTTGATTAAAAGCCCCCTACTTTTCTGATATAAAAATTGTTTTTCCATAACTTTTCCACATAAAGAGATTTGTTTCTGTTAATCCCTGAATGAATGTTGGCACCTTTGCAAACTAAAGGAACTTTTCTTTGTGAATTTAATAATCCCAACATTATTGTATCTACAATTTTGGTGGCCCTTTGGCCTTAAAGGAGCAACCCAGAAGAGAAATTATAGAGCAGAAATGGCCCCTTTTTCCTCATTGAGATCAGGAAAAAGTAAAGTTGACAATAAGATCAACCAGGGCTGGGATTAAGGTGACATCAGTAAACCAATATATATAAGTGCAGTGTGGTTTCTCTCTTTGTTTTAAATTTCACTTTTTTGTTCCTTATGGAATTTTGCATTAATTTAGGTTTTTAAAGACTATTACATTAAGTGATATCTAGCTTGACTATTAAGTTTTTGAGTGATCCCTTAAAATTTGTATCTGAAACACTTGTCTTAAACTTGTTCTAGTAATTAGTTGATTTCAAGATGCAAGTTCTATGAGATATCTCCGAGGTACTGATGGAAGTCACAGGTGGAATTTAAACAGGAAATTTTGAAGCATGTTCCTTGATATTCTGAATATGGGATAGCAGGAGCAATGGTGAAGAATGTAAGGGTATAGAACAGAGTTGATGATCTGAAGTCTTGCAATCTAGGACTAGAACTACATGTGTATGGCCATGATTTACTAAATGAATTGTTCACATCTTTTTCTTCTGCATAGCATGCAGCAGTATGAAAAATTTTAGCTATCAGATAAATTCAGTGCACAAATGCATTGAGATTTTTTGCATCTATTTCATCCATTGATTTTGTATATCTATTTTATAAAGAATGTGTCTATGTTTTTTTTCTTTTAATGCCCTGGTCAAGCTTTAGTTTCAGGGATCTACAAGTCTCATAAAATGAGATGGCAATTGTTACTCTTCCCCTATTATATGAAAGATTTTTGTGTCCAGCATTTATTAATTTTCATTATGGATTGGATAGAATTTACTATTGAAGCCATCCATGAATGAACTTTATAGTGTGTGGGAAGATCTTGAATATCAAATTCAATTTTTTACATATGCTACAATTCCAATTTTCTATTTTCTTCTCTGTCAGTAACATGTTTTGCAAAATATTTCCATTCTATGATGTTGAATTTATTGGCAAGGAGTTACTTATAACTCATCCTGTCTATGCATTTAGGGTCTATAGTGATGCCCCTCTTTCATTCAAGATGTTGGTGATATGTTTTTCTTCTTTTGTCTTTATCACTACAGTGATAAAGTGAGAGTACTAATTTATTATTTGAAAACAAACCCTTAACTTTGTTCTTTGCCTGTTGACTTCAGATTTCCATTTCATTGATTTCTACTATTATATTTTACTTTCTTTTATCTTATTTGGTTTTAGTTTTTTATTCTTTTTCTAGCTTCTCTGGAAGCTTAGATTGTTGAATATAAGCCCCCTACTTTTCAAAAGTAAATTAAAATATATACAAATATAAATGAAAAGTGTCAGTTTCTCTATATACATTACTTAAGCTGTGCTTCATGAATTTTCCTATGTTGTGCTTTCATTACTGTTCAGTTTATCTATAGATTGGTTTTCTTCATTGACCCAGAGGTCAAGTACAAGTACATTACTTAATTGCCAAATATGCAAGGATATTATTTTGACACCCAAAATAACTGTTTGTGTCTGAAAAAAACTATATGATTGAAATCCTTTGAAGTTTATTCATTATTTTTTTTAATGGACGAGTTTTCTTGGTGTGATTCCCAAGTATAGAAATGTGTGTTCTGTAACTATTGGGCATGGTGTTTTACAAATATCAATTAAATTAAGTTGATTGATATTGTTATACAAATCTTCTTTATTCTTTTTACTATATGTTCTATAATTACTAGAAAAAAAGTGTCAAATTTTTCAACTGTTTTAAAATTTGTCTATCCTTTCATGTCTACCATATTTTCAACCTCATATATTTTGAAATTCTGATATTAGATGCACATATGAGTAGTATTAATTTATTTTCTGGGTTAATGAATACTCATAATTATGAAATGTTACTTTTAATCTCTAGTTACTCTGTGTCTGATATTAATAGTCATTCCATATTTGTTATGCTTAGGATTTCCAGGATATATGTTTCTTCATTATTGACTTTCAGCCTGTCTTTATACTTAAAGTACCTCTTTTGGTAAATGGAATAGGGTTGAATTTTGCTTTCTTATCCAATGTTGTTATTTTTTATTTCAAAGTGAAAAAGTCAGCCAGGCACAGTGGCACATGCCTGTAATCTGAGCAACTCTAGAGGCTGAGGCAGGAGGATCATGAATTCAAAGCCAGCCTCAGCAATTGGGACACTGTCTCTAAATAAAATACAAAAAAGGACTGGGGACATTGTTCCGTGAATAAGTGCCTCTGGATTCAATTCCTGGTACCAAAAAAATATTGAAAAGTTGTTTTGATTTACATATAATTATTTGTTGTATCTACTTCATTTTTTATTCATACTCTGTTTTCATTCATTTGTTCCTAATTTCCTGTTTTCTTTTGGCTTTATTATGTGTGTTTTGGTATTTCATCTTATATCCTTAATTGACTTGTTAGTTATAACATTATCAGGGGTGTTTCTTCTAAGGATAACAAAACAGTCATTTCTTATCACACTTTACCTTAAATTAGTATTATGCTGCTTCACTTAAAATCTGAAATGGTTCCAATTTTGTAATTCTCATCTTTATTTCTTTGGCACAGATCAGCACAAGATGTAGAAGAGATATTTGGGAATTCATGTGGAGAAAACTGCCTTGTATAAGCAAATTGGATAGTATCTCAAAAAGATCTTAATATTTATAGTATAAAAATATTTCAAAATGGGGAGAAACATAATGAGATTAATCAGTGTTGAATAGCCTGCAGCCCAATTCCAAATCTAAATGTACACTAGAGAACTCATGCTGGAGAGGAATTACATAAAATCAGAAAATGTGAGAAAGAATTCACTGATTGTTAAGTTATATATGGGATCACATGCTGGACACAAATCCTATCGATGTAAGAAATATAGGGTATCTTTCAAATGTCTCTTGTATCTTGGGTCTCATATAAAATTCACATTGGGGTAGAATACTCTGAGTCTGCAAAATGTAAGAAAGCCGATATTTTTTCTTCATTCATTTCTGTACAGGTAACAACTCATGGTGAAGATAAGCCTCATGAATATAAGAAATGTGAAGAATTCTTCCATTTTCTTTGATGCCTGTGAAAACTCCCAATGAACCTAAAAATTGTGGGAAAATCTTCATTGACCTTTATCCTTTAGGGCACATGTGAGAACTCATATTGGATTTATATTCTATGAATATAAAACATGAGAAAGTTTTTATACTTCACTTTCCTAATGTACACATTAGAACTACCATTGGAAAGAAGACATATGAATAAAACTAATGTGGGAAAGTCTTCAGCTATTCCTTGATATGAAAAAGAGCCCTATACATACAAGAAATGTAGGGACATCTACAGTTTCACTTCATCCTTTAATAAGTACATGAGTACTAAAACTGGAGAAAAATCCTCTGATTACAAAAAATGTGACAAATCCCTCATTTCTGCTTATACAAAGCTTATACTGCACATCGCCTTTTGAAGGGAACCACTGCAATTGTTAATTTTAGATGTCAGCTTGCCTGGATTAAGGGCTGTGTAGAAAGAGAGTAATCATTACTTCTCAGTATGTCTGTGAAGGTTTTTCTGGAAAAGTTTGATATTTGAATCAGTGGACTGAGTAAGGAAGATCCACACTCACCCAATAAGAATAGGCACCAGCCTTTTTTTTGGGGGGGAGGGGGTAACCAATAGAAGAAAAAGGCACAGGAAAGGACCTCTGTGTCTTCTGAAGTTGGGAAGTCAGTATATTCTCATACGCTGGAAGGTCAGAACTCCAGGTTCCTCAACCTTTAGACTCCCAGACTTTCCCAAATAGTATCTCATGTCATCAAGTCATTGGACTTGAACAAAGCTTTGCCACCAGCTTAGCTGATATTCCAGCTTGCAGATGGCCATTGTGGGACATCATGGCCTCCATAATTATGTGAGTTCATTCCTTTTCTCCCTACATCTTTCTCTCTCATTTGTTTCTATATGTTTCTCTGGAGAAGCATGATTAATACATTCTTCAGTTGCTCCTCATTCCTCTTATAATGCATGAAGAGAAATTCTATTAATATAAGGAGTATAGGAAAATACCAACTTGTATCTTGTTCTTTCAAAGGCATTTGAAAATTCACATTAGAGAAAAGCCATAGAAATGTAAGAAATGTCATACAGTATAATTACTAACACTTCAGTGTGCATGTGAGAACACATACTGAAGAGAAAATATACAGATATAAAATTGTAGGTAAGACTTCAAGTCTTTCCCATTGCTTAGTCAGCAAGTGAGAACTCATACTGGGAGATATTCTAAAGAGCATGGAAAATCCTTTAGTTTTCACTCATATTTTCATAGGCATGTGAAAACACACAATGGAATGAACCCCAATAAATATAATCAATGTGGGAAAGCCTTCAAATGGCTTTCATATTTATGCATGAGGAAATTTATTCTGGAAGAGAAATATTTAAACTGAAAGTATAGAATTGTTTGCCATTCTTCAAGTAGACCCCTAGCTCATAGTTTATCATTTTTATTTGCTAATAAAAACCTCTACAGTAATGACCATTGCTCCCAGTACCCTTTCAGCTATATCACACAACATTTGACATACATTATGGTTCACTAATATAAATGATTAATTTCAATTATGAAGTTCAATTGGATGTATGGCTAAATTAAAACTTATTTCAATTTGCAAATAAAAGTTTTTGAAATTACTTTTATTATTGTTTTTAATTAATTTCCATTATGCTCAATTCATGTGATCATATTATAATTGACTATGATACTTATTGGAGTTTTTCCTGGCCTACTATGGCCGAATTTATGTTTCCCTACTTCCCTTCTTCCTTGATAAGAAGAAGTGAGAGGAGCTAAGCAACTTGGAATTTTTCAGGTTATTGGAATTTACTAAGGAGAGATGTATCTTTAGCATTATCATAGCCAGTGTAGTATACAACTTACTGTGTTGGTCAATTGGTGTTGATAGAAATTTTGAAATGTGTAGTTATCAAAAAGGGCAGTTTCAATCTGACAGTCAAGTATCCTTTTGTATTCTGCTACAAGTTGGACACAACATTTCACACTTAAAAGAGAGAACTTGTAATCATGAGAATGAATAATGGTACCTCTGGCTTGTGTTATATGAAGTTTAGAACTATATTTTCCAGAATCCTCTTTGTTTGGTCCAGGTTGCAGCTGGACCAAAAAGGAACCTCCGATTTGGAATGCAGAAATGAAGAAGAAATAAATCTGCAAGACATACTGAATAATTGCAAGAGTTAAGACAATGAAGTCTCTACACAACTATCAATAAGCAAATTGAAAATCAAACCTGAGTATTATACTATAAGACAAAGAGGAAATAATAACTTTTGTATTATATGCCCATGGAATTTTTTAAACAGATACAGCATTTTTTTGTATCTTTATTTTATTTATTCATTTTTATGTGGTGTGGGAGATTGAACCTAGTGCCTCACACATGCTAGGCAAGTGCTGTACCACCGAGCCACAACCCCAGCCTTACTCATGGCATTTATGGACTGGCTTTAATCATACATTTGGTACATTTTTGCTGATAAAGTTCTTATAATGTGGCTACCAGAAAATCCTTTAAACTGGTGCCTGTGGTTTTTTGATCCAACCCATAATTTTGAAAGCATTCTTGGTTTCTTGCAAAAATAAGAGATCACAAAAGTACTATATTTATTTTGCTGATCCAGTTATTCATTGGACTACACTTACATAGTTCCCTGGTTTATTTTCATTAAATAAATAGATGTTAGATGCCACGTCCGGCCAAGGGAGCCGAGTCCGGCGAGGGACGGCGAGGTTAAAAGACACACAGGACACCAAGGTTCTTCATCCAGGAGTCAATAATCTTTATTGCTAACACACCTTTTTTTATACCCCAAGCAGCAGAAGTGGAAAACTACCCAAAAGCAGGAGGGAGGGGGGAGAAATTTAGTTTCAACATCTATTATTGTCAGGTACCGAAACCTCCCTTAACAATAAGTCCATCAGACCAGAAAAGGTCAAGGCATTCCCGTGGGATACATATGTCTCAGACGGATAAGCAGGAACAGAAAAACCGCAAGTTCGCCATGGCCTTGTGAGCTGGCCACACTGGCATGCAGAACAAACTAGTGGAGGTAGGGCTCCAGGGGCCAGGGTGGACCTGCTGCCAACAGTTAGAGAACAAAATCCTGGTACCAGATGCTACACATCAGACTAGTTTTATGATTCTTTAGATAAGTTCTAAAGAAATTTGTTAAACAAATGTAGTCAATATATATTTTAAAGTTGTGTGTTTGTATTAATCTTTCACCATGTTCTGATATATTATAATGTATATACTTAATAAAGAAATACCTCTTTCAAATTACAATTTAATTAACATTTTTCATTGAAAATGTTAATGAAAACTAACTTAATTATTCAACTAGTGGTTAAAAAATATATTAAAATTAAGCCCATGAAAAACTGCTTAGCATAACTATACATTCCTGATGGAGCAGCAAATATTTAAAATTATCATTCATTTTTGTGATATCTTCTGAGTATACCTTGCAAATGATATATGATATATCAACAAGGAGACATAGAGGATATTGTTGATTATATAAAAATTAAAATTTTAGCCAGGTGCATTGGCACATGCCTGTAATCCCTGTGGCCCAGCAGGCTGAGACAGGAGGATCTAGAGTTCAAAGCCAGCCTCAGCAACAGTGAGAGGAGCTAAGCAACTCAGTGAGACCCTGTCTCTAAATAAACTACAAAATAAGGCTGGAGATGTGGCTCAGTGGTTGAGTGCCCTGAGTTCAATACCCAGTACCCCAAAAATATTTTTTAATTTTTGAAAAATAATTTAAAATTTGTCTTTATGTATACTTTAATGCAATCTTAAATTTAACTTTATTTTAAAGTTCTTAGAATTTTAGTTCACTATTCATATTTATGTAACATGTATCTGCTATTAGCTCTTACTAGTTATCAGTGTTTAGGTAATGGAGGATAAAAGAAGTTAGCTGTACCAGACCATATTATAAGTGGAAAACATAAGTAATTTGTTGTCTAAAGTCATGTTTAAGGATTTCATTAATCCATAACCAGTCCCACTCATAAGAACTTAGTACATTAGTTCTTGCTAGGCAAATCCTTTCATTATCTTACAGCATATAAGAATGGATAATCTCGTCAGGCATGGTGGTACATGTCTGTAATCTCTGGCTTGGGAGGCTGAGGAAGGAGGATTGCAAGTTCAAAGCGAGCCCCAGAAGTTTAATAAGACCCTCAGCTACTTGGAAAATCCTGTCTCTAAATAAAATATTAAAAAGGGCTGAGGATTTGTCTCAGTGAAGTGCCCTTGGGTTCAATACCCAGTACCAAAACAAAATGGATAATCTAGTAATATTATTAGAATATTTTCATTGTGTGTTTGTATTAATCTTTCACCATAAATACCAGTTGAATTCAAGTTTATAGCCCCAAAAGAGTGAATAAATGCATGTATTAAGACACACCTTTAAATTAACCCAATTTTCCTCTAAACTTAGAAGTTGTTTTTTTCTGTGTGGATCCTTAAAATTGTCTTTATATTTTTGACTCTGTTTTTCTGTCATCTAAATATTTTCTTATTAATTTTAACACACCATGATGTACTGTGGTAAACTAAGTTCCTATTATTGTATTTCTAAACATTAAAACATGTTTTAAGAATAACAGTATATTTTTTAAATTTTTTTCTTAGTTGTAGTTGGACACAATACCTTAATTTATTTATTTTATTTATTTTTTAGAAGTAGTTGGACACAATACCTTTATTTTATTTATTTTTATGTGATGCTGATGATTGAACAAAGCAACTGGCATGTGCGAAGCTAGTGTTCCACCACCGAGCCACAACCCCAGCCCTAAGAATAACAATATATATTAACTACAATATTTTTTGCTATTTTTCCACATGATTTTATGAGTGAATAAAACCAAAGTTTTGCATAGGTGGAAGATAGATGAAAATTGCATGCTGACTGTATTCTTTTACATTTTGGGTTCAAATATTTAAATAGGGCTGAAGGTATATAGGTCTAGCCCACCTGTTATTATATATTTAAGCAGTACAATTACCTGGAAAAGAAAGATGTCTTAATTTTCCTTCAAGATGTCATTTGGGATGATAACTAGTATTTAGATATAAAACTTTTAAGGGTTAAGACTTTTTTTGGCAGCCTATGGATCCCTTTATAGAATGTTTTAAAGTAAATATCACAAAATGTATATGATTACAAAATAAATTACTTCAAAATATAATTGTCAAAACATTTCAAAACAAAATAATAATAATATGTGTTAGAGTCTGTAAACAAGTCAAAATAACACCTGGCATTTAGCCAGGGGAATGTTAGAGTTCGTAAACAAGTCTGGATGGTGCCTGGCAAAATGCCAGAGGGAGTGGTTTGAGAAGTAACAAAAGTGAGCCATTAAGTGTAGAGATTCCTTATTGGTTGACTGATGTATCTAGTTTATGCTAATTAGATAAGCTCTATGGAATGTATAAATACTGCTCCTGTCCTGCAATAAACGGCTCCCACTCCTGCTGTATCAACGTACACAAGTTATTCGTCACCCCCCGGTTATTTTGCTGCAGCCGGACTGCGGCAGATGGTGGCCCGTTACGGGGAGCCCCGGGACACTCGGGGGTAAGTGACGAAAAAAAGCTGCCCGTCCATAGATAGGACGGGAGCAAATCTGCTCGATCCCTAGGCAGATAGGGCGAGAGGAAAAATGGCCATTTCAAGAAAATGGAGAAGATTGATACAGTATGTTTGTGTCTTGTTTTGTCTCAGTGTATTGTATTGTCTTTGTGATGAAAATATGGAAGGGGTGAGAAGTAAATTACTAAGGGAAGAAGGCACCCCAGTGGAACCAAGAATAGTTAGGGCATGTGTTGATAAGAGCCCAGGAACTCTAGTCAGAAAGAAAAAGAAAGTTCAGAAGAAGAAGGATTATCAGGAAAAAAGTTGCAGCAAAAGGCTATTACTAAATACTTTTCGTTACCTGAGGGTGCGTGAAGCGGAGAGGCGACTGCTGAGTGTGCAAGCCGGTCACAGCGCAACAAGGATTTTCCAAGAGGCGGCAGCGACTGGCCCTTCCCTGCCTCCTGGCCGGGGAGCTGGCTCTTCCACTGCCACGAGCCCAAATCTAGACCTGACTTGGAGGCACAGTCTCGCAGGCTCTTGCTCCCTGTGCCCAGTAGCAGTTTGAGTCCGGGACACTCCCCAGGGCCATCTGGGGCTGCCCAGGCACTACAGCCAGCAGAAGACGCTACTGGTGTCCCTGATGTTTGGTCATTTTCAATGCCAATAACTAAGCTACAATGGTTCTCCCACACCTGGAAGCTGATAAGTAATGAGCACTATTAATGCTTATTTCAAATGCAAAAAAAAACCTTGAGATAATGTACTAAATTGTTCAGAAGGTTGTTTTCTTAGTAGAATACTACAGGATTTTCTTTAGCCATCCGGAGTTCCTGCCTTCGTCCCAGTGCCAATAAAGACCAAAGTGGAAGAATTCCCAGTGTTGCTGAGAACCGGACTAAGATTTCAGCTGAGAAACGGACGAAACTTCGGATCAAGCTAGTTGCCTGCAGAACTTACCTGGACTGTGATTTAAGCTAGCTGCCTGCAGAACTTACCTGGTCTGTGATTTAAGCTAGCTGCCTGCAGAACTTACCTGGACTGTGATTTACCGGGACTGTGAGTTAATCTATTGAGACACTGCTTTACCTGGACTGAGACAACAAACTGTAATCTATAACAAATTGCAATTCGGTATCTTTGCTAACAGTGTCATTGCTGGTATAATTTTTCCAAGGGCTTCTTGCATGGAGCCATCAATTGGCTTGGTATTGTGACATTTTGTATCCTCCCCTTCTGCTTGTAGCAGATTATTTATGGTGTTTGTGTAAAAACCACTATGGTTGTTATTTAAATTAAACAAAAGGGGGAAATGTTAGAGTCTGTAAACAAGTCAAAATAACACCTGGCATTTAGCCAGGGGAATGTTAGAGTTCGTAAACAAGTCTGGATGGTGCCTGGCAAAATGCCAGAGGGAGTGGTTTGAGAAGTAACAAAAGTGAGCCATTAAGTGTAGAGATTCCTTATTGGTTGACTGATGTATCTAGTTTATGCTAATTAGATAAGCTCTATGGAATGTATAAATACTGCTCCTGTCTTGCAATAAACGGCTCCTACTCCTGCTGTATCAACGTACACAAGTTCTTCGTCACCCCCCCAGTTATTTTGCTGCAGCCGGACTGCGGCAAATATGATAATAATATAATAATATGTGCTCCTTGGTAATACACTGAATAATATAATATGGGAATAATGAGTTAATTTTTGTTTCAAATATAGTTGCTTATCTTGAATAAAAATAATTAATTCTAGGAAGACATTGACTAAAATCTTTATACATTGCTTAGCAAGTAATTTTTTGACAGAGACTATGGAAATATCATAGAGGCCTCATAAAATAAAAGCAATCTGACTTCACTCTTTGGTGGTTGAATGACTACTGAGTGTAAAATTGCCCAATGGCTGATCAGTTGGGAATTTTCCCAAACGGCATTTAACCTGTAAAACTTTAGAAATTCTCTACTGTAAACCGAACAAGTCTTTGTGGCATCATAGAAAGGCAACAGGGGGAGAAAGAAGTGAGGTTTGGCAATAGAAGACTATCAGTAGGGGCTGGTGTTGTGGCTCAGTGGTAGAGCACTTGCCTAGAATGTGTGAGGCACTGAGTTTGATTCTGAATAGCACATATAAATAAAATAAAGGTATATTGATGATTAAAAAAAGAAAACTATCAATAGTCCATAAATGTAGCAGAAATAAAATTGAACTTTGAGGTAGGTCAAAGGCTGTAGGTAGGTTCAGTAACATCTGCTACAGTTCATCTCCTACCACTCAATCACTTGTGCCACATATTAAATCCACTCTATCATTGATGTTTCAAGGTAGCAAACAACCACAAAATTTGTTAAAGATTAAAATTAGATGGTTTTTGCTGGGAATGATGGTGCATGCCTGTAATCCCAATGGCTCAGGGGGCTGAGGCAGGAGAACCATGAGTTCAAAGCCAGCCTCAGAAATTGCAAGGCACTAAGTAACTCTGTAAGCCCTGTCTCTAAATATAGAAAATAGGGCTGGGGATGTGGCTCAGTAGTTGAGTGCTCCTCAGTTCAATTCCCAGTACCAAAATAAATAAAGGGTTTTCCAAGACCTAGTGCTACTGCTACTCCCAATCTACTATTGTCTCCCTAATCTACTATGTAATTTAGAGTCCCCTTATTCATGGCAAGCACTTCTATTGATCTAGATTTCTTGTTTGATAGTATGATGTCAACCTTCATTCATGAGAGTTCTGAGCTTCTGGCACCTTACTTTTATTAGATTATAGTTGCTGCAATTGCCTATGGACAGTTAGCAACATGCAGAAAAACACCAGGAGACAACCAGTCTCCTGAGTTCCAGATATGTTCCTCCCAGCCTTCAGATAAAACAATGACCCAGTTCCTCAAGGAAAAAAAAAGTCTACTCAGATTGTCAGGTAGCGAACAGATTGTCCACCTAAAATAAATACTTACTGAAGATAAGTCTCCAGCAAGCTAAGTAGCTACTATTGCTTACCACAGCAAAATGGTGAGCTAAAAACTTAGGATTCTTAAATTCTCAAGTCAGGACATAGTCTGAAGACTAAATACTTTTATGATTTCTCTAATAGATTATCTTTTATCCTGGAGATAACTATAGTACTGGCATAGATAAAAATAAGACACAAGTCTGCTTCTTAAGGCTAATAAATAATTGCTAACATTGACTTCATAACCACTGCATATTTTATGAAAACACTAAAGCACTGATTGAGAAATTATTAGAATTGGAATGGGGACAGCTAGGTGAATTCAGATATAACCTGCTATCCCCAAAGTAATTGGGCTTTTTCCTAGCAAAAAACAAACTATATTTTTCAATGAAACTCTCCTACCTTTCATAATGTTCAGAATGACCTCAACTGAGATAATTTCATTGCATAAGGTTGACAATTTCCTTTATGTCTGTCATCTACCAACTCTCATGGCCTCTAGACCTATAGTTAGAGAAATATCCTCAGATGTTCAAGAGGGGCAGCAAAAGCAAGGCACTAAGCAACTAATCAAATCTATCCCAATTTAGAAGACATGCATACTAAAGTAATTGCAACTTAATGTCATAAAAATTTTAGGAATATGTTTAAGAATAAGTTGCTAGTCTACCAGATTAGAAAGGGAAGAACAAAGGTTTAGATTGGACTGAATCTGGTTGGATATATTTTCCAGGGATTATGAATTCAGTATTCAAGCTTTGACAACATTAATTCTAAAAGTTCTCTTAGTCAGCTGAGATAAACCTGCATCCAATGGCTGTGAAAATTAAATGAGATTAGCATGCTATTAATTATATTAACAGAGTCATAGGCCAGAGACCTGACTCTGAGGATCACCCCAAACCAGCCACTCACCCCAAAATCCACATGGAAAAGTAATGATGAAAATCAAGAAAGAAAATTTAACCATTATGTCCATGCTGGGTAGATGAGGAGATGAGTGTTTCCAACCCTGTCTTTGGAGGTGCTGACATGTGCTCCCAGACTGTATAGAGAGAATCAGAAATATGCACAGTCAAGCAGCCTGGAAAAATGGTGAAGGAGAAACACAAGGGATTCCTGTCCCAGAGACTGTGATTCTGCCCATTAGCAGGGATAGCGGATTTTTAAAGAGGTGATATGAGAGGACACCCCATTTGGTCAGGGAATATCCATCACTGGGGAAAAGCTATTCTTGCTATAATAGTATCCATCAAACTAATATGCCTGGGGAGATTGGCAAAATAAATGACTGCACTCAGAAAAGAAAAAGAAACTAAGGCCAACTGGTGTTTGTAAGCAGTCTCTTCAAAGGAATCTTCAAGTAAGCCTAAAGAAAAGATGGAAAGGGCCTCCTTCACTACATATCAATATGCCTAGTATAAGAAAGAGGACAAAAAGGAGCCTCTGGGTACAACTGACAGTGGGGGACTCACTTAAAATTGATGGCATCATGATAATGGTGAGGCAGACAGGTCAGGCTCAAAAAGATCCTGTGCTCCAACCCCATGAATGCAACCTGGGGGTTTTTGCATATGCCAGATTGTCTTATCTCTCTCCTGGGATAAAATATTTTTGTGTAAATTACATGCACAGATAAAATTCATAAGGACTGTTTGAGAATATGAATTTAAGAAAGGATCCAAAACTAGGAAAGATAAAAAGACAGTTATAGATATAGAAATATATTTTAGTATGGAAATTAGAAGTTAAAAGAAGTGTTTCTGGATGAAAAAGTATTTTGTCTGACAAAGTAATATTTTGGGGCTAAAGTCCAAGATGAAAGAGGTCAAAACTAAGGATGTAAAGAAGTTGTGAATATCTAAGTAAGTCATAGAAGGTTTGTGGAAGGTAATTCTCAAAAGTTTGTGTTTGTGATTGAGTTGGCTATAATTAGCACAGTGAAAGTTAATTGAACATTAATATACTGATATGAATCAAAGTCTGAAACATTGATCTGCTCCTATCAAGATAATTTTCTTGTGTTTATTAGGTTTTATTACTTGGGGAAACTGTCTTTAAAAAAATGGGGATTAGGGCTCAGCGGTGGAGCACTCACCTAGCATGTGCAAGTCCCCAGGTTTGATCCTCAGCACCATATAAAAATAAATAAATAAAATAAAGGTATTGTGTTAAACTACAACTAAAAAATAAATATTTTTTTTAAAAATTGGGGATTATACCTCATTTAAAAAGTATTAAATAATTACTTTGTAGCTGGCTAAATAAGCAATAGTTACTTACATTATAACAATGTAATTGACACCTTAAATACATGTGACTATGTATATGTATGCATCTGAGAACTATATCTGTCTAAGCCTTGTCTAAGTGTTATATAAAAGTTTATAAAATGAAAGTTTATCAGCAAGATAAACAATAAGTTATCCCTTTTATACATTGTATCTGACATAGAAGGGCCACACTGTCATTTTAAGACCTGTCTTGTATCTCTTTGCTTTTTGGGGGGAGGGTACCAGGGATTGAACTCAGGGGCACTCAACCACTGAGCCACATCCCCAGCCCTATTTTGTATTTTATTTAGAGACAGGATCTCACTGGGTTGTTTAGCACCTTGCCATTGCTGAGGCTGGCTTTGAACTCACCATCCTCCTTCTCAGCCTCCCAAGCCACTGGGATTACAGGCATGAACCACCATGCCAAGGCTTATCTGTTTGCTTTCACTAAGTCAATTTCTAATCATTAGCACTGTTTCCAAAATGTATACAAGATTGAAGGCTAACTTTGATTTTTGTTAACCCATGCAGATCTGTGATTATTATTTTCATACACTCTGGACTCCAAATTGTACTTTAAAAGTTGAACTTAATTAAATGTAAATCTTGGGAGAGCACTTTGCCAAGTTGGTGCTCTCCAAACAAAAATTATGTGTAACAAAAGTCTGAGATTTGTATAGAAATAACAAATTTGGTTGATATTTCTACATGTCAAATGATGTTTTTAATAGCTGGATAAAGTAACTTGTTGTCAATAAGTTATATATAAAATTTTCTGTTACTCTTCACACTAGAATTGGAATTTAAATGCATTTTTGGAAGACACTGAGAGCCTGATCTGTTTAAAGATTATATTGTAAAACATGAAAACATTCTGCCACTTTTTCCACAAAAAAGAAGTTAAAAGCTCTTTTAGGCTTTCTTTGATTCATGTTTCAGATATAATGCTGTATTATGTTATTTATGAAGAGCCCCACCTTACCGGAGATAAGGATCTGCCTCCCACCTTACTCCATGTAAGAATGGCTCCAAAATAGGATGAAATTCAGTTCATTTCAAATTGTATTCAAAAGACTGATTTTTGTTGTAATGATTACTGTACTGTGATCTCACACAGGGTATATAATGCATAACTAAGTAAAAGTTTCAAGATTATAAAAGAATTTTTCTTGGTTCATACCTATTACATGATATTGTTCTGTTATTTTGCATCTTCCTTGTAAACTTTAAAACTGTTGCCCATTGGTGTTTTGCATAGGTACTGCTTCAAAAAAAACCCAACTTGGGTTAATTTGAGATAATAAGCTATCACATAGTTAGTATAAAATGTTGACTTCCAAT